CTTAATGAACATTAATAGCTTCTTCAAGGTTATCATTGTTAATTAGACATTGATCATTTACCTGATAGGATCTTATATTTTACTATCTAACAATTTATATTTTTTTTTTCATTTATATTTTCGAGGACGAATGTGTAAATGTAGCTTCATTATAATTATCAACTATTTAATTAACGACGGTTGTGTTCGAATAATTAACATAGAAGGTCTTGACCATGAACGAAAATATAGTAAACATAGTAGTTTATTTATGTTCCTTTCTGTTATATTATAAACAACATAACAAGTTTGTCTGATAAATAACAACATGTTTCTGTACTTGTCTATAATACAGCGATTGTAAAAGTCTTGTATTGATATATCATCGATAAATGTATGAATTACTCAGAGATGAACATAATAAACCAATTGTATTGTATGATCATAGTCCATAAGCACTGAACATCAGCATCCTGTTTGCTAGCAGAATTATCACGCTGTCTTTTTTTCTCTCGTTCTCTTATATTTTATAAGATATGTAGGCGACGCAGCGCACCTATAAAATCAGCAACATTCGCCTCCGATCAACCACTCAAGACTGACAATCGTCACAATTATTCGAGTAAAAGTGAGTTGATTCTATAAGAATTAAATTGAGATTCATAGTTTGCTTTGTTAATAACAGAATAATAATGCTTCTTTCTTTTTATAATATAGAGTCAGAGAACGTAATTCTACCGCACAAAAAAAACATCTTCAGAAAATCATTAATAACTCAAGTTCTTACTGGATATAGAGAGCTGAATTTTACTTTTTCGAATAGAGCAATAAGAGTAATTGAAATACATAATTTCGTTATAATTCTCATATCAAAACAAAAATTCTAATTAAGAATAATATAATAGTATGAAGCAAACAAAAATATTTTATACTTTTTTTTTTCAACAACTTCATCAAGTTATTTATTGATTTGGTTTTACTTTTTTCACATTCAATAAACTAAATTTTAATAAGTTTTAGTTAGAATAGACGATCTATATGCCATATTTAGTTTGAATTCTATGTGTTTTTTTTTTGAAAATTGTTTATTTTCATTATTCATGTTCATTTTTATAGTTTCTTTTTAATACATTCGAATAATCAAATGTTTCAGCATGAAAAATAAAATCGATTTTTTGAAATATTTTAAAATATGACCAACATCAAAATGAGATTCTGTAATGAGTGCAAAGTATTTAGTTGCTTTTCATAATTTGTTTCCGTTCATTCTTCAGTAGTTTATATATGTCCAGAGGAAAATGAGATGAATATAGTTTAACAGAGATATTGTAGATTTCTTACTTCTGTTCCAGATGTATTTTAATAATCCAACAAGGCGTCTGAAAGTAATTGGTGATATTAGGATTTATTCAATAAAATTTTTCATCCTATACACAGTTACCTGTTTGTTGACGTTTATTTATTTTGAAAAATGTTAGTGTCATCTATCTACTATCATTGTTTTATTAGCACCATCGTCACTGTGTCTCGAAGTTTTGATGTTAAAATTTGGTACAATTTCAGAACTTTTTTATTTCTATTAACAATCAGTCGAATTGATCTCTATCCTTCAGATGATGAAAGGCGATTTTTCAGAACTTGATACTTCTCTAGATGATCACATGAATTTCAAACGACTATCAATCAATTAATGAGAGTTGAATAGCGCCATGTATTAGAAAGCATCCTCTTTATTTATCTACAAGGTGTCGGAAATATAAAATTCAACTGAATTTTCTCTCTTTCTTTTCTATATGGCTAACCTAGACAGAATCGAAACACCTAATATGCTATTTAAACAATGACATTGGACTTTTACGCTAAAAAGAAAATTGGTAATAAACGACAAAAAAGAGTGATCATAACTTTTTTTTTCGTTTTAACGCTTCATTTACGTTTCAAAGTGTTTATCATATGACACGATTGTTTTAACGTCTTAATAATCAGTATCTACTATGTGAAGAGTCATGGTAAATATCTATTATTATTATGATTATTCGAGTAAGACAGTTATAAACATAAAGTAGTATAATTATGTTCTTTTTTTGACAGAATTGTGATTGTCTTTCTTACTTCTATCAATCAATATCATGCGCTAGTCAGTTATTATTTAGCAATGATATTAATTCATATTAGAGAACATAAGAGCAAGAAGAAAATGAAGAAAAAAGAAACAACCAGAAAGGAAAGCAAAACAAGAAAAATACACACGTAGGTTAGACCTTGAATAAAACATGTTTTAACTTGTTAAGGTTTCATAATAACGTCATATAAGGAAAAGGCACCTCTCTCCCCTAAACAAAATGCTATCGTTAAAGCGGTGTTATTACAAAATTTTAAACAAGTTAAAATGCGTAATTTTTTCGAAACTTACGCGTTTTTCTGTTGATCTCACTATTGATTTTGTCAGTAAAATCATGTTCACAGGACTATATAAATTTTAATTCGATAATATCTTATACAGAACTCGAATTTTTTTTTTTTTGTCTTTTTGGAACTGGTTAATTGCGTTCAATATTTGCTCATTAAACAGCATTTAATCCCTATATAATTAGTTGGTGTCTTGTTTTTTATTACCTTCACAGTACTCGACTCAATTTTTTCCAGTAGTTAGTTTTTTGACATAGTTTGTTAAGAATTGATAGCACTTTGCTTTTATATCATAGCTCAAGTATGTACAAAATTCATTCAAAAAATAATATATCTTATCAATTACAGTCTCTTGCATCGTCTTTAAATATAATTTACAAGCAATACAGATAATAATTATAACTACACATTTTTTTTCTTTTTACATATTTTCTTATGTTCAATTTCTTAACTAATGAGTTATGAAAAAATGTATATGTTCCTTTTCTTTTTTGTTCCTTAATGAATCAATGAAGTTAAGCCAAATAAGAACAAAGAAATAGAGAGTATTTTTTCATGTAGATTTTTACAAAAATATGTGTTTTTTTTTTCTGCTTATTAATTAAAAGATTCTTTTGACATCAACCGTTTTGTTTTACAATCTTCTAAATTAATTAATAGATGGTATTCATGAAGAAAACATGGATATACATTATTTGTTTTGAAGAGATACTAAATTTCATTATAAAAAAAAATTCAAATTATTATTAAAAAAGAAGAACTTATAGATAATTTACCTAATAGTGTAAAACTCGTTAAAACCGCACATTCTAACGTGCTATGAATGCATAAAAGTATCTGACATTGTAAAAACTTATTAACATATCTAACAAAAACAACACTATATATATTTAGATTTTGGAGCTAGTTTAGAAAACTCCAAATGATTTCAGTAGAACATTTATCATATATAAGACATAAATTTTATCTATGAACAATCGACAAAAATTTAAACCGTATTGAAAGAGTATTAAAAGACTAGTTAGAAAAAATAAATTTGCTAAAGGAAAGCTAAGTAAATTCAAGGTCGAAATGATACTTTGCTATTAATCGAAGTTTTTAAAGATTTCTCAACCAAATAGCAATGCAATCAGAATAAAAAAAAACTTATTTTTATAACTAACTTATCAAGCTTTCTCAAATTATGTATAAATTAACGTAAACTTTTCATTTCTGGAATATTAAAAATAAACTAAGAGGATATTTTCTAATACACAATGTCATTCAACTGTCATGAGTTGATCATATCATCTAGTATAATTAAAATTTAGTTCATTTAATATGGAAAAAGTAAAACTAAATCCATAAATAACTTGATGAAGTTGTTGAAAAGAAAAAGTATAAAATATTTTTATTTTTGATATGAGAATTATAACGAAATTATGTATTTCAACTACTCTTATTCATTTATTTAAAGAATTTTGTTTTATTCTAAGCTATCACCAAAATTATGAAACAAAAAAAAACAATTTTTTGTTTTAAAAACTGCTTATTCTTGTCGATAAAAAAAATCGAGATAGACAAATTTGAATTACATTGAAAAACATATGAATCGATACAGCATGATTAGAAGAATTGAACTATATATATTTTATCTTAACTAATGATCATTTTCATAAAGAAATTTAGCTTTTTCTAAAACTTACTGCAATTTTATGTATAAAGGGCAGAATTAATAAAAAAAATTACATTTATCGGCAAATAAAAAAAAAACAGAGTTGAACAAAAGTTGATACTCATGCTATTATCGCTCTTATCGTAGGATATTAGGTGAAAGTTTTTCAATAGATCATACATAAATTGACACATAAATGTTTGCTTTACTCCAAAAAGTAAAATTTAGCTCTATATATCAGTAAGAAGTTGAGTTATTAATGATTTTCTGAAGATGTTTTTTATTTTTTTGTGTGGTAGAATTACGTTCTTCGATTCTAAATCTTACTATATTAATTCTAGTCATCATATTAACCATCTAACAACAAACAGACATGGGAAACAAAAAGAGCCGTGAGCCCGATTGGCCTCCTCCTGAACTTCCTCCTCCTCCTATATATCCTCCATCATTTACGAGTAATCGTTGATAACTTTTGTTGTCTTCCACATCTTGCGTATACACATACACATATTTAACACTCTTTTCATTTCTTATTACCTAGCTACAACTATTTCACGACGACGCCGAAAGCGACTTCCTCCTAAAATCCGTGTCATCTTTGTGCCTCAAGTTCCTCCTATTGGAATTGGATGGTAAGTTGATTTATGTGATGTTCTGCAATAAGACTTTAAACGAGTTCTTTGTCTCTTGCTTAATAGTGTTGCACCAATGCCCTGTGCAGTACCTGTAGCAAATCCCTGTTGCAATCTGGGTAAAAAGATTTCAATCGAATTTTGAGTATTTTTGTAATCAATATATACTTCTTCGTTTCATTCTAGGTATCGCAGGATACGGAGGATTCGGATACGGTGGATACAGTGGACTTGGGGGACGTTGCTGTTTTTAATAAACTGTGATGATGCTTTATCATTGATTCACTCTTTATAAAAAAGAAACTAACAAACTACAAATCATACATATAATTTAGTAAATAAAAAGACTTGCAAACATTATCCACGGATTTTTTATTTTGAAATTTTTTTATTGAGTGTTTTTTGTTTTTTATTCTTTTTGGAGGGTGTGGGTGTGGATACCTGCTCAAAAAGATGCACACTCACACCCACACCCACAGCCAAAAATATATAGTATGATGCGAGAAACAGCTTTTTCGTTCTTATACGTGCTTATATGACTTTTTTTTTCAATATTCACTGTACTTACTGGAAGTTATTTTATGTGTATGATGTTTGAAAAGTCTGGAAAATATATTTAAAAAAATTCAATGCAATAATATAAAAACAGTTCTATTGAAAGCCTCTAAATGAATATTATTAGTTTTTGATTATAATAATCTACTTGATTCTAAAGAATATACAATTCATTTGTTAGACGTTCCTCAAGAATGATTGAATGAGTTCATATCGCTTACACTAACCGAAACTTTCATTTTTCGTCATAATCGTCTAGCGACATTAACCTTATTAAATTTATGTCTCTGACTGCTGAAGACCACCCGTTCTTCTTTGACGATGATTATGAAAGACATGACGTTACGTACTGCTTCTCGCATTCATAACTCAAAATTTTGAATAACATTTAATGTAAAATTTACCAAGATCTTAAACAAATCAATACATATATGTTAGAGGCATGTTGGTCTTTTTTCAAACTATCTAGAATTAGTTATCCTGACCTTCATAAAGCTGCTGTTTTTTTAGGTTACTGGAAAAAACAAATTAGAGAATGAAGTAAATTCACCTACTCTCTGATACCATATCTATGCTCGTTCTTTTTTAATGCGAGAAGACGAATTAATTATGATTACTGCTACAAAAGGCAGTCTTTTTCATTCTTTTTAAATTTATACTTCTACTACTTGTTTCGTATATTATTAAAGGTGCGGGTATGGTATGTAGGGTATGAGACGCAGGTGTGGGCGTGATCGTCTCTGTTCATTTGTTGAAGAACCCACACGCACGCTCTATATGAATAACGATGAGTAAACCCAGTATCGAATCGTAAACTACTTGTGTAATTAGTACGAATGCAGATCCTAATTTAAGGGTACAGTTTATATTTACATCCAAATAACAGAACTTTGGCCCTAAACCGCTAAATCCATAATCTGTTCCCGATTTTTTTGCATCCATATGCATCACATATTTAAAAGTTTTTATATGGTAGAAGATGCCCTCAGAAGATAAGAACTAATGTCTGCACAACCATTAACTACTGCAGCAGTACTACGAATAACATAAAGTTTATAAGATTAATGAAATATTGAAAATTTCATTGCATTTGAATATTTTTGATTGAAGTGATTTTTTACATGAATGAAACTGATGAAGGTTATTATATTTTTTTCTAGAGATTTCTCCTTTCTGTCGAGCATTGCACAACATTTTGTAAATGAAAGAAAAAGAAAGAACACAGATTTATTCATGTATGATGAATAGTGAATGTTTTTTTTTCATATGCACGACGCGATATATTTTTAAAACACTCATTTCTTCAATTCATATGATAAGTGCAAGTCTATAAAAAACAACAGTTGTTGTTAACAAGAAAGTGTCATTTCGATTAAAATGTGTTCTACTGGTGATGTACAATTCTCAGTTGGTGAACAAAGTGAAGCTATTCGTAAACAATTTTGGGCAACAAATTATTCACAATGTCCAATATGTAAAAGTGAAAATATTGCTGTTAATTGGTGGTCATGTGGATGTAGATTTAACGGAGACGGTGAACAATTTTGTACTTTCTTGCATTTGTAAAGTCATTTCACGTTTAGGATGGGGTACCGTAGTTTATCAATGTCTTGGAAAAGAACGTAAAGAAGATGTAAAAAATTTAGAATGGGATAAGACAACAAGAAAATTACCTGGTGAACACGGTTGTGGTTTTTATACATCATTTGTTTATGATGAAGGAGGTGAGGGACCAGAAAACTATGAAACAGCACATTGGAAAAAACCATAATAATTATAAACATGTCTTGCTCTTCATTTTTTTTTCTGAATATATTTTTTCAAAATAAAACAGAATATTATTTCAATTCATATCGATAAAATAATTCACACACATAAAAAACGTTATATATTCTTAATCAAATGATTCGACATGTCAACTGGTTCTTAGCTTGGACGTGAATGTTAGCGAAGGCGTGGATGCAGTCTGTTCCCTATATCCACACCCACACTCCGAAGAAACACGACTCAAATGTTGTCTAACACGAAATGGATATCATAGTGCTTTCAATACTTCAGCATCGATTAATTATGAAGGTGACGCTATATTTGGTGGATATCACCCACCAATTTCTACTTCTGGTTTATGCATAAGATCTTGTCAACCGGATGTGATATGTTATGGCTGAACATATTTAGGTCATACTAAAAGTAGCGAGATCTAGGTCGTTTAAAATAGAGGCCGTAACAACGTCGCTTACGACAGTAAAAGACGAGCATATGGTGTAATTATGATCGTTTACGATGAAGATACGGTCCGTTAAGGCGCCATATTACTCATTTTAACACGAGCAATAATACGGCCGTATTTGCCCGTACTGTAAACAGCGACATAAGCGGTCGTTAACGATGCTTTACAGTGATCGTATATGGATAGTATTTTTCATTATTTATGACGATAAATACACCGTTTTCTACAGTTTACCTCCAGTGTCGGTACACTTATTTCCATATCAAAAAGTCTCTGTAAGATCTTGAAAGGATCTTACGAGATTAGATATATACTAAATAAACAAAAGATAATTGTTTTTTAATAAATGAATACTTACCGATTAAATTTTTTTCCATTTGATCTAAATAAAAAAAATAATATTGTTGAAATGAACAATACTCACCAATTAACTGTTTTTTTCAATTCATCTAAATAAAAAAAATAATTTTATTTAAATAAATAATACTTAGCGATCAAACTATTTTCACTAGTTTTCTAAACGGAAAAGAATTTTTTTGTGGAACTCACATATATTCTCGAAGAAAACAGTGAGTGTAAGTTTTAAATTCAGGTTTTACGACTCCCCCTCCTCCCCAACCCGAGGCCCCAACCATTACAGACCTTAGCAACTGAGGTCAAAGGTCATTGGGTATATTCCCTAGCAATGGTGGACAATAGCAACTGGCTGCTTTCCTATAGCTCTTTAGCAACCATATGGCGCGAAATCATACATTATTGGATATGTTTCCATAGCAGCGAGCTCCTCCATGACAGGCCGTTACAAACAAATTAATTAATTAGCAAAACAATGAATTAATTATTAATAATTTTTTAGCATTTATTAATATTTATTGATATTTTTGTGGAACTCACATTGTCGACGAAGGAAAATAGTGAATGTAAGTTTTAAGTCGAAGTTTTGGCGACTCCCCCTCCCCTTCTCCCTTCTCCATTACAGACACTATTACAGACACCCCCTAGTACAGTCTTTAGCAATTAAGAATAACTGACGTCAGATATTCTAGTTTCTTTTAAAAAATTGATCAAGTTATAATGTTTGAAGATAATCAACGTCATTGTTTGTAAGTTGATTAATATATAATTATAATACGTAGGGCACTACCAAAATTTTTTTCGTCCGGTTCTTCTAAAAGCCTCAGTGTGAGTTCAAGTATTCTATTATAATGCTTAGACATATTTAGGATTATGTGAAAAATTTCAGACTTCTAAGTCTTGTACTTTTTTGTAGTCTACCATTTCTTTGACGTTAATAACATGCCAGTTTCTATACGCTACATAACGGGTGACTTATAATAAATGACAGAACTTTGCATTTGATATTTTGATCCATAAAAACATTTTATTGAAAAAAACCAAAATATGTCAGAAGATGCAGCGTGAAAAGCTCTACAATCTAGAATGTAAAACTTATCTCAATTGTGTACTTTTTGTTTCAAAATAAACAGTATTCTGAGCGACTAATTCTCGACGCTGTGTAGAGTAGCCCAGAGAATTTTACTTTTTTTTTAAAAACAAAAGCTGCAGATATAATATAAATTGTTCTTTGCAAATTGTAGAATTTTTCAATGCTGCATCTTGTGGTGTATTTTGTTTTTTTTAATAAAACATATTTGGTGATAAATAAGAAAAAACGCGTTCGTCGCATACAAAAAAAACCACTTTTTTTACAACGTCAAAATTTGATCGTTCAGAATTTTGTCGATTTTCGAACATAAAAAATGCAACTGTAAAATTAGCTGTCCTATATAAATTGTAGAACTTTTCACGCTGCATCTTCTGGCATATTTTGTTCTTTTAATAAAACGTATTTAGGGATCAAAATATGAAATGCAAAGTTCTTCCATTTATTATGGGTCATCCGTTAGTAAGTTGCGTGCACCTATCATAAAAGAAATGATGAACCACAGAAAAGTACAAGACTTAGAAGTCTGAAATTTTTCACATAATCCTAAATATGTCTAAGCATTATAATAGAATACTTGAACTCAAACTGAGGCTTTCAGAAGAACCGGGTGAAAAAAACTCTTGTAGTGCCCCACGTAATGCACAAGAGCTTCTATAAATATCATGAATATGTAATACAGATTTATTTGCTAATTAATTCAATGATTATAATGATAAGAATGTTGAATTTAAAAAAACGAATTAAAAAATAAAGAAAGATAATGACCGAATAGCAACAATGCAAAATAAAAATAGGGCGCCTGTAGAAAAAAATTTCTATTCGAAATGCAGAAATTAGAAAGATTCTCACTCTGATTTTCGATTATCCTACAAAACAACTGTAGTCTACGAGAGATTTCTCATTTTATGTATTGTTTATTAGTTTAATGAGGCTAGAGAGCATATGTGAGTTCCACATTTTAGTCCCAAAGGGGCTGCGGCAACAAGTTTTTTTTAAATAAATTAATATTTATCCTTTAAAATATATCTTTATTTCAAAGTGACCTTGAGAAATATAAGAAGCATAAAAAATCAGTAAAACCTTCATAAATCTGTTGAAATTATGTCTTAAAGTGGATAAACATCTAATTTCGAGCAGTTTTTCCATTATTCATTTCTTTAAAGTTCTGTCAAAAGCGAACTTTAATCCATGTCTTGTGCTGCTGCAGTTATTTCAATTTTTGTCATACAAATCTAAAGGTTTTCCGTGCGTTCTCTATAAAAACAAAGACGAGTGTGTGGGTATGGGTGTCGTTTGCCTCTCAATGCTCACCCACACCCACCCATATACTCACGTGCAATTCGAGCATTCTGTAATAGACGAGACACTCCTACACTTAGAAAAACACTAGCGGGGATAACAGAGTCAGTGAGAGCATAAAAAACCTACGGTGGCGGCCGCTGTATAGATACCACTGACTTCCTTAAGCATAAAGATTTGTGAATCACTGGAAAAACTAGTTATCACCATAAATTCCTCACATGTCCACCGGCTTTACTAGTGTTAACCATGATGGTTAAAATGTGAAATAGGTCTTTAATAAGAGCATTCTATAATAGACAAGACACCCTTAAACTTAGGAATACACTGGTGGAGGTGACGGAGCTGGTGAGAGCATAGAAAACCTACGGTGATGATCGGTACATGGATACAACTGACTTATATAAGCATAAAAGCGTATGAATAACTGAAAAAGCTGGTCATCGCTGTAAATTCCTCACGTGTTCGCAGGCTAGATAACTCTAGTTCGGAACATACAAACAGGAATTCTGAGATGGTTCTAAGATGTTATTTCGTTTTTCCAATGACTTTAGATTTGCAGATGCTGTACTAAAAGGCTAGCATTTGCTGTACTCGGCATGTCCTTATTGCCTTTATCACCAAGCTAACTGTTGTGTAACCAACAATGTTTCCAGTCTTAGAAAGGTGCTGATGAGCCGTAACAACCATAGATCTACTGAGTCTAACTACGATACTTGATTAGCAGTCGGTCACTATTAATTAAAATTGGAATTGGACTCATTGTAATTTGAATATTCTACCAGATAAAACTCTTCAATGCTCATCTTTGGAAAGAAATCTATATAACTTACTTGCCTGTATGAATACAGTTCAAGTTAACAAAGGCTGAGATAATGAAGCTATAGAAATTAGTGTATGGTATTCTAATTGAGAAAATGAAAGAGAAGATATTGCTTAAGTTATTTTAATAGAGGATGTACTTTCGAATATGACAGACGAGGTAAAATTTTAGAGAAATCTTTGTCAAGAAGACTATTGAAAAACAACTAAATCTGAAACAGAAACTTATTACGAAGACGAATTAGAAAGACTGATATTGACTCATATTCCAATACACTCATCAGAGTTCTATAGCCAATATAATAGGTACATGAAGCCATCTTACTAATCAAAATGAGCAAAAGGAAATCTTTGTAGAAAAAAGACTGTCCTTGAATCCCTTGGAAATTCATGTTATCTAAATAATACTACTTCAAATTCTCGTTTACTGTGTATTTTCATTGATTTCTGAGTCTGCATATTACTGTTTCTCATGTTTCACCTTCGTTTGTATTTGTTATTTCTTTCGTTCACGTATCTAGTAATGAAATGAGATGCACTCAATATATTTTTTTTGTGGCTGTTAATTATATTCATTTTTTTCTTTTGGTTGTTTCATTGTACTTGTTTTTATATTTGTAATTTATTTTGATGGACATGTAATAATCTTTTCGTTTAATGCAACTCCTATACAGGAAGGGAGTGTGATTAAACTTTGGACTTTCTGTCGAAACACATACATGCATCTCGTCAGCGTGTGTATTATGGAATTTCGAAAAATTGTAGTTGAGTCCTTGGAAAATATCAGCAATGTCGACGAGTTTCCACAATTGAATATCGGTGCAAGCATGATGAGAAGTTTATTAGTTGCAAATATTTGGCAATACTGCCTAATTTCTGGTAGAATTTCAAAATTTTTTGAAATCCTACCCCTATCTCAGCATTGTCGAAAATTCAGATGAGAGTATTCCAATTGTCGAAACATTGTTTAAAC